AACCTAGATGTGCACGGAAAGGCTTTCGAGTACAATGTGAAGCCTTTCAAGTGTCAACTCATAATAAAGGAAAACTGTCGTGAAAGCGCCAAAAAAGTATTCGAAGTCACAAATATTACAATGGTAGATGGTTTTAGAGTCCTTGGATCGGTCATAGGAACACCATCAGCATGCGATAAGTACATCGCAAGCGAAATTGAAAAAGCAGCTACCCTAACTGAAAAGCTTTCTAAAATAGCTAAAACATCACCACAAAATGCGTACTCCTGCTACAAAAATGGAGTTCAAAATAAATTAAGCTTTCTAACCAGAACAACTCCGGAAGCATTTAAGAAAATGAATGAAATTGAGAAAAACGTAAGACAGCATCTACTTACTAGTATTACTAGTAAAAACCATATAACCGATGAAGATCGCAACCTTTTTGCACTACCACTAAGAATGGGAGGATTAGACCTCCTCAGTCCCACGGACTTTTCCAAAAATTATGAGAGGTCACAAGCCATTTGTGATCCGTTAGAAAACAGTGATACAGAAAAAGCTGAAACGGAACAAACTCTGATAAAAAGAAACATCAAAACTGAGAAAAAGAACATCACACTCTCAAAAAATCTAAAATTATGGAAAATTGCTCATCAGAGAAAAAACTAACAATAAATCTAGCGTCACAAAAAGGAGCATCGTCACAGAAAACGGAAACGGAAGCCATTCTACTTATTGATGCAGAAAACGCCTTCAACTCGCTCAATAGAGAATTTGCTCTAAAAGATGTAGAAATCCTTTGTCCGGCACTACATCATGCGCTGACCAACTCATATAAACATCCCTCAAATCTATATGTCAATAACAAGGTTTTGACATCTACCGAAGTCACAACGCAAGGTGATCCCCTCGCAATGGCTATGTACGGAATTAAAATAAACCCACTGATTGAGCTCCTGCAAAAACCAAAAATCACCCAAAAATGGTACGCAGATGATGGAGGCGCTGGAGGTAATCTTAGGAGTCTCCGTGCAATACTGGACAACCTAGATGTGCACGGAAAGGCTTTCGGGTACAATGTGAAGCCTTCCAAGTGTCAACTCATAGTAAAGGAAAACTGTCGTGAAAGCGCCATAAAAGTATTCGAAGGCACAAGTATTACAATGCAAGATGGTTTTAGAGTCCTTGGATCGGTCATAGGAACACCATCAGCATGCGATAAGTACATCGAAAGCGCAACTGAAAAAACAGCTACCCTAACTGAAAATCTTTCCAAAATAGCTAAAACATCATCACAAAATGCGTACTCCTGCTACACAAAATGAGTTCAAAATAAAATAAGCTTTCTAACCAGAACGACTCCGGAAGCATTTAAGAAAATGGAGGAATTTGAGAAAAACGTAAGACAGCAGCACCTTATTAGCATTACTGGTAAAAAGCATATAACCGATGAAGATCGCAACCTTTTTGCACTACCACTAGGAATGGGAAGATTAGACCTCCTCAGTAACACGGACTTTTCCAAAAATTATGAGTGGTCACTAGCCATTTGTGATCCGTTAGAAAACAGTGATACAGAAATAGCTGAAACGGAACAAACTCTGATAAAAAGAAACATCAAAACTTAGAAACAGAACATCGCACTCTCAAAAAAGGCTAAAATAATGGAAAATTGCTCATCAGAGAAAAAACTAACAATAAATCTAGCGTCACATAAAGGAACATCGTCAAAGAAACCGGAAACGGAAGCCATACTACTTATTGATGCAGAAAAAGCCTTCAACTCGCTCAATAGATAACTTGCTCGAAAAAATGTAGAAATCCTTTGTCCGGCACTACATCATGCGCTGGCCAACTCATATAAACATCCCTTAAAACTATATGTCAATAACACGGTTTTAACATCTACCGAAGGCACAACGCAAGGTGATCCCCTCGCAATGGCTATGTACGGAATTGGAATAAACCCACTGATTGAGCTCCTGCAAAAACCAAATATCACCCAAAAATGGTACGCAGACGATGGAGGCGCTGCAGGTAATCTTAGGAGTCTCCGTGCAATACTGGACAATCTAGATGTGCACGGAAAGGCTTTCGGGTACAATGTGAAGCCTTCCAAGTTTCAACTCATAGTAAAGGAAAATTGTCGTGAAAGCGCCATAAAAGTATTCGAAGGCAAAAATATTACAATGGAAGATGGTTTTAGAGTCCTTGGATCGGTCATAGGAACACCATCAGCATGCGATAAGTACATCGAAAGCGCAACTGAAAAAAACAGCTACCCTAACTGAAAATCTTTCCAAAATAGCTAAAACATGACCACAAAATGCTTACTCCTGCTACACAAAATGATTTGAAAATAAATTAAGCTTTCTAACCAGAACAACTCCAGAAGCATTTAAGAAAATGGATGAATTTGAGAGAAACGTAAGACAGCAGCTACTTACTAGCATTACTGGTAAAAACCATATAACCGATGAAGATCGCAACCTTTTTGCACTACCACTAAGAATGGGAGGATTAGACCTCCTCAGTAACACGGACTTTTCCAAAAATTATGAGTGGTCACCAGCCATTTGCGATCCGTTAGAAAACAGTGATACAGAAATAGCTGAAACGGAACAAACTCTGATAAAAAGAAACATCAAAACTTAGAAACAGAACATGGCACTCTCAAAAAAGGCTAAAATTATGGAAAATTGCTCATCAGAGAAAAAACTAACAATAAATCTAGCGTCACAAAAAGGCGCATCGTCACAGAAACCGGAAACGGGAGCCATACTACTTATTGATGCAGAAAAAGCCTTCAACTCGCTCAATAGAGAACTTGCTCGAAAAAATGTAGAAATCCTTTGTCCGGCACTACATCATGCGCTGGCCAACTCATATAAACATTCCTCAAATCTATATGTCAATAACACGATTTTGACATCTACCGAAGGCACAACGCAAGGTACTCCCCTCGCAATGGCTATGTACGGAATTGGAATAAACCCACTGATTGAGATCCTGCAAAAACCAAATATCACCCAAAAATGGTACACAGATGATGGAGGCGCTGCAGGTAATTTTAGGAGTCTCCGTGCAATACTGGACAACCTAGATGTGCACGGAAAGGCTTTCGGGTACAATGTGAAGCCTTCCAAGTGTCAACTCATAGTAAAGGAAAATTGTCGTGAAAGCGCCATAAAAGTATTTGAAGGCACAAATATTACAATGGAAGATGGTTTTAGAGTCCTTGGATCGGTCATAGGAACACCATCAGCATGCGATAAGTACATCGAAAGCGCAACTGAAAAAACAGCTACCCTAACTGAAAATCTTTCCAAAATAGCTAAAACATGACCACTAAATGCGTACTCCTGCTACACAAAATGATTTGAAAATAAATTAAGCTTTCTAACCAGAACAACTCCGGAAGCATTTAAGAAAATGGATGAATTTGAGAAAAACGTAAGACAGCAGCTACTCACTAGCATTACTGGTAAAAACCATATGACCGATGATGATCGCAACCTTTTTGCACTACCACTAAGAATGGGAGGATTAGACCTCCTCAGTAACACGGACTTTTCCCAGAACTATGAGTGGTCACGAGCCATTTGTGATCCGTTAGAAAACAGTGATACAGAAATAGCTGGCACGGAACAAACTCTGATAAAAAGAAACATCAAAACTTAGAAACAGAACATCACACTCTCAAAAAAGGCTAAAGTTATGGAAAATTGCTCATCAGAGAAAAAACTAACAATAAATCTACCGTCACAGAAAGGAGCATCGAATTGGCTAAGCGTGCTCCCCTAAAAAAATACAATTTCTCTCTCAACAAATCAGAGTTTAAAGATGGATTACATCTGAGATATGGATGGGAACCTACAAACACCCCACATACATGCCCGTGTGGACAACCGTTCACACTGACCCACTCCCTACACTGTCCCAAAGGTGGATACACTCACCTAAGACATAATGAAGTTCGCTATACCTTTGCGACACTCCTGGACGAAGTATGCCATGATGTTTAAATAGAGCCAAAACTTCAACCGTTGGAAGGTGAAAGCTTTCACAACAAAACAACCACTACTGAAGATGACGCTCGACTTGACATCAAGGCAAATGGACTCTGGGGAGGTCGATTCAGCCGAACCTTTTTCGATGTAAAAATTTTCAACCCCCATGCTAAATCCTGCCCTAAAACTATACCTGACGCCTACAAATATCATGAGAGTGTCAAAACATTAAAATACCAACAAAGAATTCTGGATGTGGATCACAGCAGCTTTGTTCCACTAATTTTTGCGTGTACCGGAGGAGCAGCACCGGGCTCTACAAAAACCGTCCAGAAACTAGCAGAGAAACTAAGCGAAAAACGGAACGAATCATACTCGGACACAATTAACTATCTAAGAACAAAAATAAGTTTTGCACTTCTGAGGAGTGCAATCCTCTGCTTTAGGGGGTGCAAAAAACTTACAAATACATCCAACATAGAAAATTCTATCTGTGCTGTAATCGAGGAGGGTAGATTTTAATTGACGATTCTCTTTATGCATTAAAATAGACTTGATTTATTCAAAAAATTTTGTCTATGTATTTATATAGCGTTAGTATGGCCCTATCAAACCTGTGCACGTACCATCGCATGACGGAAGGGCCCATTTTAATTTCAGGCTTAGAAACTGAACAAAAACGCATGCAAAAAAAAAGATGATCGGATCCTAAATTGGGTATTTGTCAACTTAATCACTGCCAGTGGAAGAAAAATAGACATTGAACTCATTTACGATAGCTAATAAGTCGCTAACAACTTCGCCACTACTTCCATTTACCAAAACTATTGTGCTGTTTATTTTTATGCATCTCAAACTATTTTCTTAGGAATCATTCCAAGATGTTTCTTACACAGTTGACTGAAAAGAGATTGACGATTAGGTCCAACAACTTCCAATGAGCTAATTGTTCTTGTGATATTGTACGAATAAACAAATACTTCGTTTTACACTTATCCCATGACTCACCTTCTTTTCCTGACCAACTCTCCGATTGGAATCAGCCATTTTAGACCAGACAGCTCCGAATTTTCAGTAGCCAAGGTGAAATTTGCCTTGTTCAGTAGCGCGATTCGATTTTGTAGAGCCTTATTTTCTTCTTTAACTCTTGAATGTTCGGTTGCCGAAGTTGACACTGTCGCGTTCAGGCTTTGAACTTGGTCACAAAGAGAATTTATTTGCAGGTCCTTGCTAGATAGTAGATTTCTGAATGACTTGCATTCATTTTCACTTTTCTTAAGCTGCTTTGCGAATCCATTCAATTTCTTCAGCGCTTCCACGAACTCACACTCGAGCTTGTCCGTAAGCTCGTTACTTTTTGCCTGAAGCAAGGTCACCATTCAATATTCAACAAAGATGCTAATTTTACGCCTTAAAAAGTTTGATTCGAAACAAATTAGTTGCCAAATTAAATTAAGTCAAATTTAGTAAATGTATATCGCATCATGTTATGATAACTTTTACTGGTTATTGTAACGTTTATTTACAACAATTTTTCCCGGCAATTTCGTCTTAGCGAAAACAAATGAAGGCAAGGCAGTTCTAATATACAGCGTACCTTTTTACTGCACAGCCATTCCTTCTTGAAAGCTGACCATTTGTCAATTAAGGCAACTTCGCTAATTTCGTCCAGCGAAATCGAGGTCCAGGATCCTGAATTGTTGCTTGTACTGTCTGTTGAGCTTATGCGAATTGGGGCAGAAGTTTGAATGTCAGGTTCGAACTGGCCATATGCCGGTAGCGGTTTGCCCGAAACCTTTTTGCGACAATTGGGGCATTCCCGTTTTCGGCCTGAAGGACATGTCTGGAACCATCGGTTCACGCATGAGCTGTGGTACAAGTGGCCGCACTTGAGAAACACTATTTCATCATCTGGTCCATACAAGGAGTGACAGATTGGACAAATGAGCATTTTACAAAGTTCGAAACAAAAGGATCATTGTTATCTGAAAACTGCCTTCGAGTTTTTATAATCATTCAACTTTTACAGAGGCGAAGCGGAGCTTCGCACCACTTGCGATTCAACACAAACAAAATAAGCAGCCGAAAAAAAATGAAATTTTTAGAAAAAACTAGGTCAAATAAACTTTTGTCTCTGTATCATTCGTCTACTTCGGTCACATATGAGGCTTAAGAAAAATAGGCCCTATAACCATTGGCTCAAGAGTCAGGGACACTATCTCTTGTGTTTTTCTACCTCAAAACGGTCGGAGCCAATTCGGTTCACTTGCGACATGAGACTACAACCCGTTACAGCTTAAAGGCTACTACCAAAACAAAACAAAAAAATTTAATTGCAAAATGATAATCAATATAACAAACACCGAATACAAAACAAAACAAACAACAAATGTGGGATGAACCATTGAGGATTGAAAAGAGAGGGGGAATGCACTAACAGCAAAGGAACAAAGGAGCACCAGAATTGGGAAGGCAAAAACGTAATAAACTGCACAAGACTAGATGGCCCGGCTGACAATCATAATGGCGTTTCCTCTCATGAGGCACACTGAGAGGCTCTGGAGAAGGCGAACTGGGGCAACACGAGCGTCACGTGAACCAGAACGTCTGGCATCAGCGAGGATAGCAACTGACTTGAGGGTTTTGATAGCTAAAGCGGACCAACCCCCGAGCGTTTCGACTGCTAACGGGAAAAAACTGATTCCTTGTTCCTCACAGTTTTTCTCGTGTTTCGAAAATTTGCGGTCCTCAGCAACTTCCAGGGACGCCCCGGGGGTCTCCGCCGCACGAGAGAGAAGAGATAACTGCAGCGGGGATGTCACGGTGACGTCGAAAGCAGCTGGGCGACCAGCGCTCCAAGTAGGGATAAAAATATCGCCGGGTTTGGACCGTTCTCCAGGGATGAGGTTCCGTTGCTCCAGGATGGGGGCTAAAGAGGCAGCCGTGGTAGCATTGAAAATAATGTCCCGTAGTCTGCCGTGACTGGAGATCCGGCCACCACTCCCCCCACAAGCGACAGCGTGGTCCCCGAGGACGTCCAGAATGCCAGACGGACACGCGGGGCACCTACGAGCAGACGCGAACACAGGAAGACCAAGGCGGTATCTGACAGCAGCTTTGAACTCAGCAGGTAGCAGGTGCAGGCCAAGACCTTTAATGGGGACTGCGGTAAGCCAAGCGCCGGCGTAAGGCAGAGAGAGCGTCTGAAGACGAGCTTGCTCGCGGGAATCGGGATGAGACGAGAAGAACGCGTTGTAGGTGGCCTTATCGAGTTTCTCATGGAAAGCTTCTTGAGTAAAACCGGGAGTGTTAACGCTTCCAGACTGTTCACGGAAGTCGTTAGAGGCACGCAGGAACTCCGGCGTTTCAGTGATGTCGCATTCGGTAATAAACGAGACCAAATGAGCTGACTGACACGAAGACCCTAGAAAGGCAGGGATGTGTTGGTCGCGAGCTTGCCGGACGCCAAGTCCGCCATCTTTGATAGGCAGGGAAGACTGGGACCAGGCAAGATCAGGAAGAGGTGAGCCAACTATGACAGAAAGAGCATCGCGGAGGAGTTCATCAAAAACTTGCAGGGAAGCTGCGACAGGCTGAGAAGGCGGCTGAGTGCGAAGAGAGTACGTCAGCTTGGGAGCAGCAAGGCAAGTGCGAGTGATGCCAAGTGAGAGCTGGGGGTCATCAAGAAGAGGTAACTTTTCAAGACATTTGGTGGCTTTCGAGATACGTTTGTCCAGGACTTTAACTGAGAACTCAGTATCACCAATGGGGGCGCCAAGAAGCTCGAAGCCATTAGACGCTGCTCTCGGGATAGAAACGGGGATGGACGAGAACTCCACAGGGGCCCACAACTCACACTTACTGTGCTTGACTTTGAGGCCGAGATGCAAGCCGTTGGAAATGATGAATTCGAGAGCCTTGAGCAAGGAGTCTTCGTCGCCGGCACAAAAACCATCATCAAGGTACCAGCAGTTGAGGGTGAGACCGGGGACTTCCGACTTGAGAGTGCAGGGTGACCGCAAAAATGAGAGGCCCTAGCGGATCCCCCTGTTGAACTCCTTTCTCGCTGTTGAGAATGACATCCTCGAACAGCAGATGACTGTGGTGACCGTAGGTAAACTCAACAAAGGAGGAGAGACCGGGAAGACGGTTGCGAACTTGAAGGAGGATCTCGGTGCGGTCTAGCGTGTTGAAAGCGTTCTCAAAATCCACTGTTAAGACGCCTTGGTGACCATGTTCCGAGCACTTTTTGACTGTCATTTTAGTAGCGTGGACGATGGCTTCCGAGCCACCGCTGGTAGCGACTCCAAGCTGGTGAGGACACAGGAAATCACAAGCTTCAGCGTTGGCGGCTTTAGCAAGGCCTTTAGCAGTGAGCCTTCGGAGCACTTCGCCGACCGCAATAGGCCGGACACCACCCTTGGGTTTAGCGGTGGCAAAGAGATTCGCACTGCACAGCCACGGAGAGAGACTAGAAGGGGATTGCCCAGCAGCGAGGATGTTAACAACCCTGTTGAGAGACTCTAACGTTCTGGCAGCAGTCTGAGGAGTGGGGCACTCAACGGCGTGAACAAAGTGCTCAGGAAACCAGCGCGAAGGACCGGCAGCAGTGCCGCTCGGGAAACTTTTGAGAGACTTATGAACGAACTCAGATTCGAATTGGTAGGCAAGAGGGGATTCATCCCGACCAGAAAAGACAGGAGGGTCAGCGGAAGGATGAAGACTGCGAAGGTCCTTAATCGACTCGTCACCTTTGGACACGAGGCAATCGGAACACAGGGCTTTAGCTGCTCTGCCGAACTGACCGAGGCCTGCTAGCTCTTTGGCTCTGCGGACATTAAACCAGGAGAAGGTTTGCTGTTTTTCTTCGTTCGCTCTTTAGGTCTTTTGGTAGCGTTAGACCAGAGGTCCGAAATATTGCCCTCCTTCCAGGACTTGATTCTTTGGCGAATGTCTCTGCAGTTATTAGCGGCTTGAGACTTGCCTCCGGGGCGAGGGGCTTTCAAGATACATTTGGGGAGCATGAGCAATCGAGTCCAGTCTTTCAGACTGTCCGGTGCGGTGGCGCAGTTGTCAAGGGCGTGACCAACAACCTCAGACCACTCGTTACGAGGAGAAATCGGAACGAACCGGACAGTGTCAACTCTGGAAGACATGACGTCAGAAAGATCCGGCACAGCGCTTTCGGCGAGCTCAGCCGAGATCGTCATACTTGACATCCCTTGAGAGAGGCCAAAGCTAACAGGAGCATCCCGAGAAGGAGAACTCGTTAAAGCGACAGAGATGGGACTGGAGACAGGAGACGCGAGAAGGCAAATAGGACCGCGAGAACTCCGGCCTATCGGAACATAACCATCAGGGAGCCGGAAAATTTGATCAAGTTTGACCCAGGAGTCAGAGCTTTTATTCCAACCACGAAAGTGAGCAAAGAAGCGATCGTTGTCAACTTTGAGGATAGAAGCATCATAGATACCGGAGGTTAGATCCGAGATGGCCACAGACGACCCGACTAAGATCTCCGCGGCGTTAACAAATCTGAACAACTGAGTAGGGTCGACAGACGGGCCAGGATTACTTTTAATATCACCAGCGCATAAAAGAAGGAGCAAAGAAATGTTATAAAACGACAACTTTGAGTTGAGTTTAAGCTTGCGTGACCGCAGTTCTTGTCGTGATTATGGATCAGGTTTCTCGCGAGCCAGCAGCAGCATATGTGTAGATCCAACAGGGCTGTGACCGTTCTGCACACGGTTGATAGCTAAAACCAGAAACACTGTCGAGAAGAAAGAGGCAAACAATTGCATGCCTAACGTAGGAGGGGTCTCACCCAGACGTAGAGATAACGAAGGCAGAAGGGGAGAGCCAGAGTCAAGATCGGGCTACGGGTTCCACACCAGGAGACCAGAAATCCAGTGCGGGGTCCAGAGCAGATCGTGGATGGCACGCTAACTGAAGACCAGTGGTCCACTTCGGGCAGGTCAGGAAGTGTGCAACGTCCAGCCAGGTGATCACCAGCACATATCCATCTCAAACTATTTAATAAGTTTATCACCTTGTGTTTTTCTACCTCAAATCAGTCGGAGCCAATTCGGTTCGTTTGTGACATGAGACTACGACCCGTTACAGCTTAAAGGCTACTACTAAAATATCCCCCCACTCTAGAAATAAGAACGTCCCCATACTCAGGTCTCAAAATACCCAAAATACACGAACGCCGTTAAAAACCGGGTCGGAACAATCCGTTGTTACTTTTTATTAGACAGTGGAACTTTGATCAATTTCGGATGGATCAACCTAAAACTCGCCTTATCTCAACATAACAACCATAAAAAACACTCGAGAAAATTAAATTTGGTCCTTACATAGCAGCACGCTTGAGAAACAGAGTAATTAAACTAATTACTGACTCTAGCATAAATGTAATCGAATATAACTCAAGAAGTCTTTTAACGATGAGTTCCAATCAAAGGAAGTAAGTTTTAACTCAAGAATATAGTTTTGAATCTGGACCATTGGCAGACTTCACTTGCCTGCCTTTCCGTTGAAGGTTCACCCTGGTCCAACTGATTCTAAGCCTGCTCTCGTATTTGTTTGGTTTCCTATGTCAGATAGGACAGCTCTACTCTAGTTTTCTACGACGGAAATTGCGAATAGCGATTTCCCACTGTATATCTCTGACAACCTTTTTCGCAATTGTAATTCGGCCGTTCTGATTTTATTTTTTCTGTTTTCAGTTGTCGCGAGAAAACTGAGCATGACAGGCTCCATTCGAAATTTTGAAAAATTAAATTCCACTCCAAAAGCCACATGTCTCGTGTTCCTCAAGGTCAAACTTCCAATATATGACCGACTGGCACACTCGTCAGAGGGTCATTCCAGGTAAAAAGGCCAGACACTTGAATTTTTTTTTTGTTTTTTTTTATGAGGGTAATCAGAAGGTCAAAAGTATCATAGTAACCGAGGTTACAGTCAGGGTCCCTTCATCACG